GCCCGAAAGGCCCAGCCGGCGTAGCTGCGCCAGATGTAACTTATTTAACAATTTAAGAAAATCAGACCAGATTGAACAGATTTAACGCTCTGGACTCGTACAGGAGCCAAGGGCCCGGCTGCGTCACGCCACCGGGAAAGGCAGCGATCGGGCCGTGTCCAGCTCAGGCTGCCCCAGGTGTGCGGGAAACGCAGCTGCCTTTGGAAAACCAGCGGCAATCCCACCTATGGACACCTCCCCGACTGGTGTCAGGATTTCACAGAAATCACAGCACGGGAAACATCGCTTTAACTCGACAGGGAGAAAAATTACAGGTAACAGAACCGAAAAAGGGGGTTAAAATCCTTTTAAAATCAGAGGTGTACATTTAGAAAACAAAAGGCATTTTTTGCTACAGAATTGAGGATCACTTGGATGACGTGGATTCCACACATCTCTGTTCTTCTCCACATTTTGCTTTGATCCAAAGCGAACCAAAATTGTCACTCCGCTTCCGTGTCTTATTCAAAAGAATTTTTTCTTCAAAAAACCCTTCCCTTTTGTTTATTTTAGATTTATCTTTGCATTTACGATGCAATTCCAAAACTTTAGCTCTGCTGAACGAAAAGATTGCCAACCCATTAAAAAATAAAATCTAAAAAAGAAAATCCATGAGATTTTCTGTACAATTTGCAGGCCAAGAAAATCTCTTTGAGGCAACAACGTCGGAGCCAGCCTGAGCCTGACTCAGTGAGTCCCTTTCATTTTCATTCCTCCAGAGAGCGGAGGAAGAGGAGACTCCTGGGTGCTTCAGCTCGATGTCACGTTTAATGCGTCGCAACACACTAACAGGGAAGAGGACGTCACCTCCTGGCTACCAGCCGGCAGATATTCCAGTTCCCGGTCCCCAGTAATACTGGCTATTCCAGGAAAATCTGCCTCCTGATTTTCAACCTGATGAAGAGTTCTGAAGTCCTTTATACATGGGAGCAGCGATAAGAAGCCAAACAAGCACCACAAGCGGGTCCTCTCCTGCCAAGTGCAAGGCCACAGGGCCTGGGAATGAGAAGAGTAAGGGGAACCACCTCTCTCTTCCCACAGAAACACAAGAAAAAGAACCCCTGCACACGTCCATTAAAAATAATACGATCAAAACGAGAGACTCGTACAGGGACAGAAAACTAGAATGGCACACGACGTTGTCATCCGTAAAAAACCAAAGTGTATTTTCCCGTGAGCAGTCCAGAAAGAACTTTACCTGACTCTTACCACGTTCTGACTGTTCAGTGGGGCAGAGCCAGCCCGAGCCCATCGGCTTTGCTTCAAACGGCCCCAAATACTCTTTTTTACCCCCAATGGGGAACCCAAACCACGGTTCCCACGTGCGGGCCAGCCCGCGGCCTTACCGGATGGTGAATTCCAGCAGCTCCTGCACACCCTGCGGGTCGAGGTGCTGCAGGTTGTAAACTCGCTCCAAGCTCTGGTGTAAGAACTGCTGGGAAGGATCTTCGTGTGGAGCGAGACTGGGAGAGACAGGGGAGGACACCAGCTTCCTGCCCGGCAACTAAGCAAGAACAAACAGGTGCAAATGAAAAAAGGAGAAAGGTCCAACGCGAGTAACGACGCTGCAAAACGCTGCCACGCTCTTTAACGACCGAGCGCTGATTTACTTCTCAAATTCAGAATTTATATCGAGGATTTCAAGCCTTCTAACTGTTCATTAACACTCTCTGTTTTATAATCCACTTGCAGCAAGAGATATTCAGGTTAAACTTCAACGTCCCTTTGAGAGAAACGTCTTCCTCGTCTATGCCCTGTGACACCATGAAGTCAAGGGAAGCCTGAGACCACAAAAACCCCAGTTTGGCCTCGCCTGTACCGCTGCGGGGGAAAACATGTCTCGAAGGGCCCAGAACACATCTGACCTGCGAGTAAACGGTTTAGGGAGGACATAAATCGAGTGTTAGAAGATCTACAGAGGCCAAGCTCCCCTTCCCACACAGCCAGAGCTCCAGAGAGCTCCCAGGAATCCCTCCCGGCCTCCCAGCGTCCTTCCCAAACCAGCAAACCACGTCCTGCTCTCACTTGAGAGCAATAATGCGTTATTCTCCCCAAAACATCATGAAATCATCGTAACAACTGACTGCTTGGCTCTCCTTACTTATGTCCACTTCAATTCTCACTCGCTTGGTGCTTTGGAGAAAAGAAACCTTTTAGGATCAACGTGTTACCCGCTGGGAGAGCAGCAATATTCCCCACGGAGCAGTGAGGCGCAACCCACAAACTTACTCGCAGGGGAGGCACCAGGTGGGAGAGGCTGTCCCGAAGGTAGGCGTAGTGTCGGAACGTGTGATCCGAGAACAGCGCCGGCATCGTGGGGCAGCTTTTGGCAGCGTTAAAAATCAGAACGAGAACAGCGATGTCTGCCGGGCGTCGTTAAAGGAAAATAAGCAACGGCGAGAAGAGCTCCTTGGGGACGGCAAGTTAAAAGGACAACAAGTCGAGGCTCAGAGGCGATGCCAAGGACAGAAGCGAGGGCTGATAAATGCAAGATAAATGCAACACCTCCACCCGTGGAGTTTCACTCTTCCTTGAAGCTTCTACCAGGTTTAATCGTTTGGGACCCAAATGCCGCCTAAAATTGAACACTGACCTCCAAGTCTTTGAAAACTGCTGCATTTCCCCTTACACAGGCTTAAACTAAAGAATGAAACACAAGGAGATCATTCTGGAATACAAAATCCATCTGCAACAGGGGTCACCCCACGATCTCTAAGGGGAGAGAGTAAAGGGATCCCAACGCAGAGCTTACGGTCGCCCGGGCTCTCGGACAGCAAGTTTACCCTGAGAAGGGACCGGGCCCACGTCTCACCTCCTGACAAACCTCCTGCGGCCGCGGGCTGGAACTTTCCACTTCCCAAGGCAATTTCTCCTCTTTGCCCAAAAGTCTCCCCACATTTCCAGCCGAAGTCAATCAAGTAATCTGATTAGAATTTGCTCAGTGCTTCGACTCAAACAACACCGGATTGTTACTTAAGGGTTGACAGTGGAAACACACATTCATGTCCACCTTGTAGTTTCTGGCTTCCAGGCTCGTCTTTCAGAGTTTACTGCCATAATATTCGGTGGCAAGTCCCCTCCCAGAGCACACTCCCGAATAACAGTTCTTGGTTTGGGGCAGGAAGGCACAGGAGGAACAGCAGAAAAAAAAATACCCTGCATTTCCAAGGCATCTTCTGTTTTTTAAGGATGCTGGTGTAACAAGAATAAGAGAAGAACTAACATTAACATAAGGATTCCTGAGCCTGAATTATTTTTAAAAACTTATAAATTTATGGCATTATGTGGACGTGGCCACTGCAGTATTACGAGATGGCGCTGCTCTACACCCTGCACAACAGCGAGGAGAGCGGGAGTGTTACCTAAAAAGAAAGCAGCCAAGGAAGACGGCTTTTCTCTCAAAGCTAAAGCATCTTCAAAAGTAGCGCAAGCTGGGCAAACGCTTCCACATCAAAGGACACGTCTGCAAAGCCTAAACCTTGCCAGATTGCTTGATAAGGAGATTATTCATCACGGCGTAAAAAAAGGCCACTTACACCACCGTGGTATTTATGAACACGGTTATTCCATCGCTTGTCGAGTAATAAAACTAAGTGGCAAAGGGAGTCAGAAATAGCTACAGGATTGCCTGCCACAGCCTGAAACGGTTTAACAAATGTGAAAACAGGAATAAAGCCCAAACTATCAACCAGCTTCACCCAAAAGATACAGGCTGGGTCATCCATGTCTGGCTCGGGCGTGTCGAAGAACGGGTGGGTGCTCAGCAGCTCCGGGACCAAGGGAAGCACCAGGGTGGGGTGCCGGCTCCCCAGGAACTTCAGGCATCTGAAAAGACACAGGTTGAAACATCCCTTCGTAAAGGTGGATGCTGGGAAACATGATAGGATCTGAGAAAACGGAGGAGAAAAAACCAAGCAGTAACAAAAAGTGTGTAATGAAACTGTCCAAGAAACACCTGACACCTGGAGCTGCACAAGAAAAGCTTTCATACTCGACACCGACAAATGAGAGTGGGTTTTTTCCCCTTGAGAAATAAAGGAGTGAGGAGGTAAAAACCCAACCAAGTAACAAAGCCCCAAACCCCAAGCTCCACCAAACTCCAGAAACAACCTAAGAGTCCGCTGGAAGAAAAAAAAAGCGTTGCTGATAACCCCCAAGAATTCCCCCTCAAGCCACGAGTGCTGGAGCATCGCCTCCTTGGTTGCTTCCATCAACCAACCACAAAAAACCCGCAGAAAGGCTCATTATTTCTGCTCAGATGGGAAAAGTCCCTCCAAGAGCACCAACCCCCTCGTCACATCCCCTGTGACCAATGGCTGGTGAACGGGACTCCTCAAGGCAGCGCCGCGCACGCACCAAACATTGGTTGCATCGAAGAGACGAGGCTTCCGAACCGAAAGCTGAATTCATCCTTCCTGGGAAGGCTCTGAGCGCTCAGAGCAGAGGGCTCTGCCCAGGGCTCTGGGTTCCTGCTCTGAGTATCAACAAGCAAGAACAGCACGGAGTTTCCGCATCAGTCACGGGTACGTACAACACTTAGTAGAGCCCTTGCTCCAGAAGGCTCCAGACTAAGAGGAGCATCCACCTGCGACACCCGTTACCTCCTTACCCCGCTCAGTATGTGCCCAGCGCCTCGGTTAGGAGAAAGAACGGGAGAAGCAGCAGACACGCGCGGACACGGAGCACAACACAGACACGCGAGGACACGGAGCACAACACAGACACGCGAGGACACTGAACACACTCACTTCCAGATGGATTCTCGGTCCGTGGGATACTTGGTCAGGTTCTTGAGCAGCTCCACCAGCGCGAGGTGGATGCCTTCTTTGGTTGAGACGTTGGTGCAACACAACAGCTCGTGAAGTGCTTCGCGAATGTCCCTTGAAGAATCCTAAAAGAAACAAAACCCCAACCCAGACACCTCTGAGTGCCGAGAGAAGTGCCCCCCTCCACACACACGTTTATGGTCAAGGCAGCAGTTCCTGTTCCTTGGCCGAATCGGCGCTGAGGGACCTGGGGCTGTTCGGCTGGAGAACAGGAGCCTGAGGGGAGACCTCATCGCTCTCTGCAGCTCCCTGGCAGCAGGGGGTA